ACTGGTAAGATTTTACTTAGGCACTCATTCTATGAACTAACATGATTATATATAGAGGATTCTATATACACACATATATGTGTGTGTGTGTGTGTGTGTATATATATATATATATGGAAATAACTGGTAAGATTTTACTTAGGCACTCATTCTATGAACTAACATGATTATACGTGTATATATGTGTGTATATATATATACATATATATATATTCACATATACGTGTATATATATATAGAAAACTATATCTTAGTTCATAATCGGAGGAATGCCTAGAGTAAACATGGTACAGAGCATAAATTAAGGAATAAGCAGCTTGTAGTTGGAGGAATGTCTGGAGCAGACACAGTGCAGAGCATGATTTAAGGGAAAAAAAGTTATACCAGGACAAGAACGCATGGCCCAGGCAGTAGCGTTCAGTATCGTAAAGATACTCACTGTATGGCAGGCTTGGGGCAAGAGCCACTCCTCCTGATAAAGGAGTTGTAGGACCTTGCTCCAGTTCTTGTGGAGGGCTGCCCTCAGACCAACAATCCCTCGAGCATCCGAGGGCTCAAAACCCCTCCGGATAATCGCACCTTGGTGATATATGAACTTTATCAGCTCTTGTTACTGTACTGCTCAAAGAGCACCTTCCTATAGAACTCATTGGAAGCTGCCAGCAGGTGGCGATAACCCTGACAGCCCTGTCATTACTGTGTGACTTAAAGCATCCTCTTATAAATCTTAGAAGTAGCTTGCCCGTAGATAGAGGTATTGCATACTGCACCCTCTTCACTGCGCACGGCCCACCTTCATGCCTTGGTGATCTAATGGGGGTGGACCCCTTATTGCACACGGCCCTTGCCCTAATGGGAATGGACCCCTTGCTGCATACTGTCCACCTCCTAGCCTAGGTGACCTAATGGGGGTGGACCCCTTGTTTTATTGCTCACGACCCTACCACTATCCTTAGAGATGATTTCACTCACTGCCCTGCCCCCTAACCTATACACAATAAATACACACAATTCTGGACATGTGGGGCCTCACCTGACTCCACTCGTAAGTGGCGTGGCCCCTCGAGCCTAGCTGCATTTTCCTTGTACTTCTGTGTCCTTTCTCTTTATTTCTCGGATCCTGTGCCTCAGCACAGCATAAGGGACACCCCACGACCCTGTGGGGCCCTCAGCCCTTCAAATCCCACAAAGCCTCCATGGCGTGGAAGAATAGAAATTATAGAACAAAAACAAAATAGCTAATGGAGTGGCAAAATCCTTAGCAGCCTCAAGAATGGCATACTTTGTATGCTTTGCCTATTCTTCCAATATCCTATAAACTGCATCTTATAATGCCCATGTTATAGTTGAGGAACACACAACAAACAGGGTTTAGATAACTTGCCCAGGGTATACAAATATCAAGTAGCAGAGGTGGGCTCAAAACTAAGGTTTTTTTTTTACTGCAAAGCTAATGCTGTTAAACACAGTGAAGGTTTGCTGTTTTGCTGTTAACTCTTCAAACCAGAGGAAACAGTATAAAGATTAAGCTATCAAAGTTTACATAAAGCTGAGGTTCAATTATACTATCTTTAACTGTAAATAGTCATTCTTAATATAGGCTAAAAGGATGCTTTAATTTCTTTGGGACTTAAGAAAGGGATATTTAGAAGAAAATAACATTAAAAGAAAAAAGAACAAATGCAAGTAACATAATTAACTGTCTTTGCATTTAAGATAGTTTTGAAAAACAACCTCTTATCCTCTATTCATTTCACTCTATGCCACCTTTTACTGAGTAGTGGTGAATTTTCAAAATTTTCTGATGTCAACAATAGAAAATGAAATGTCCATTGTGACCCACACCACAAATACAGGTAAATGTATGTATATGCATTGTGTTGTGTGAGTATGTGTGTGTGAAATTAAAACCACAAATACTTACTGAGTTTGTGGACTCTGATCTATTCTATTTCATTTGGTTAGAGTGTCAGTCATAACCCATCATACTGGTTTCATGACACTTTCATGAATTAAGACCTACAGTTTGAAGAGTCTTGGGATATGAGAGGAATGTTTTAGAAATCAGAATGCCACATTCTTTACTAGCTCCACTTTTGAATGTGAATATTTTGTTCTCACCTGTTCTATCAGTTTTAGTCTGTCTTCATGAATTTTCCACCTTCACACAGTTGTGATTTCTCCCTTTCAGGTAATCAGGAAAGGCAGTGCATTTTTTTCCCCCTTTTTGAAGTGCCAACAGCCTCCACTTGCCTCCCCAATTCCTGTCCCCTTACCCACTTCCATTCCCAAAGAGTTGCAGTTCTGTCAGCTGCTCATTCCCGGGGCCTGACTCCTTCCACAGCTGCTGTTAGAACGGTCAGTCCCAGCAGCCATGCTGACTGGGGATGTCAGTTCCCAGGGTCCAGCCCAAGGCAATATAACCTTGCAGGATTTAGCAAGTAAGCACAGTGTTAACATTAACATCGATTTCTAGTGACATCTGTTTTATCTGTAATGCCCCATCCTATCAGACTTCTAAGCCATAATAGCTCTACTTTGAATTTAGGACAAGCTTTTTGTATTTGGAAATGGAAGATCTGACCACATTTTGGGGAAAAATTCTAAAATATCCTGAAGAAAGAAAATAAACCTTTCAGATCATTAAAATAGGAGAGGGAATCAAAATGGATATTAACTTGTAGAGAAAAAAGCGTCTCTGACTTTAATCCCTAAGTGATTTCAAAAATCAAAACGTGCTCAAAGCTTTAGGATAAATTCTTAAGTTAGGAAGATAATTGTCTGCATTGTTTCTATATATGTACTAAAAGACATATACACACATATATACATACATATATGCCCACAGAAAACTCTACTCAAGCTGATGTGAACAAGTGAGGAGTCCCAAATGGCAAGGTCTGAATACTACATCTAATTAAGGAGTTAATACTGACTAACACATATCTTAAAGGATGCAAGAAATCTGCATTTTCTACCCACAGGTTTCTCTTACAGAGCACTGACCTCAGCACACAACCAGAAAACCCAACATAGGAACATTATGCACTTACCTTTTCCACTGAGGGGAAAAAAAGGTAATGCTTTAAGCATGCTCCCATTTCATTATACACTGTTTTCACTGTAGCACAGATACTTTTTTTTTTTTTTTAACAAACCTGAGAAAAGCAGGTAATACATGCTAATAGAATCCACAAAGAATTATTAGCATGATTACCTTCATAGATTAAAAATTAAATGAGAAAAAATTACAGCCAACATTTTAAACACAGAACACTAGTATGAGAAGCACACATTAAGGTAGCATGAAATCTTTTACAATACAAAATTAGCTCATGTTCCTTTTGGCCATTAAATATCAAATATTGATAAGTTTACCTATCTTGCCCCAGGATTCTTCTACCTTTAACACTGTAGTTTTTACAGCCCAGTCTTCACCTTAAAAAAACAACTGAGACCGGGCGCGGTGGCTCACGCCTATAATCCCAGCACTTTGGGAGGTCGAGGCCGGTGGATCACGAGGTCAAGAGATCGAGACCATCCTGGTCAACATGGTGAAACCCCGTCTCTACTAAAAATACAAAAAATTAGCTGGGCATGGCGGCGCGT